ATATGCGATTAGTTCAGGGGAAATGCTACAGTAACATAGCAGAAGCTGAAAGAACTCACGCCAACAAAGGGCGAGGAGAGTGGTTTCAGGAAGATAGTGGACAACAATCCATTTTCGGGTTCCAGGCACAGAGGAACAAGTATTGGACATAATCGAATCAGGGCCTTCCAGGGGCTCTCAGAGCACAATAACTGACACTTTCCCAAGCACCAAATAAATACCGGGGAGGGGCTACATTCCTACCACGTTTGTACGATACACACAGTACAAGGAGCACACACATGTACAAATGGAGCAGGAGTTAATAATTGAATACGAGACGCTGCTTGATTAGAGTGGATAATAAGGAGATTACACAGGCACTAGCTTGATCGGAGTTAACAATTCAAATGTTTGGTGTTGAATGGTTTACTTACAAACACCAATATTCGAGGTTATAAGAACAGGTTGACATTTCGAAAACAAATCTTGTTGAGTTTACCGTTTATCCTTGTCTATCATATTGTCACTCTGTATAATTCCATGGTTACCGGAGTTTTAAATAATTACGAAGAAACAGGTATTTGCGTCGGTTGTTGTTAGGCAGGTTACCTTGAAAAACATTGCTGCCGTATTTCTGATATAGTTTTTTGCAAATTTCTCAGTTTTTAATAACAATTAATTTCTTTTACGATTTTTTTGTACTCCTATAACAGCGCCAGACAACACCTCCAGAGGAATGGCCAATTTTAAATCATCCTGTATTATGTGCAAAACATAATTTTGAAATAAAATTGGAAACGGACAAATCGAAATGCGTTGGCAACAGTGTTCTACTGCTTCCATTAGCACTGCTTAAGATACCAAAGATAATTAATCCCTACCTGTTTAGAATCGATATTTCTTGCTAAACCTAAAAGTAGGAAGTCACGGTTGCAGTTTTTGAAATAAATAATTAATTATTATTATGATCCTAAAGCCCGTGTCCCAAGCATCCGTTTGTACGATGATACGATGGTACGAAAGTGTATCTATTGGTTAGAGATCTGTCAATTCGCCCGTACCAACAACCAATAGAAACAATTTCGTACCATCGTATCATCGTTCAAACGGATGCATGGGACACGGGCTAAAGATATATCGATAGCTGACCGCTGACAGTTTGTATAGGTATCGATTCATGAAAATTACCTGTACAAAGTTTGGTTTATAAACTGGTACTTAAATGTGTCAACTTCGTTTCTGCATAGAATCTAATTCACAAAAAGCAGAATCGACAAGGTTTTTGTCGTGCTAATTTAAATCAAGAAATGTATTTATGTTATAATTTTCTTACCAAACTATTAGAAACACATTTATAAAATTGGGAAATTACAACCGTTTGCAACGGCTCAAAATACCCCCCAGTAGCTCATTGTTTGCCAAAAACTGATTGATAAATATGCATTATAAAAACGATATATCCAACACAGAAAGGTTGGTTTTAGACGCGATTTCAATTAAGGCGTGACATTAAAACTGTATCCTTAATTGCAATAATTGCATTGAATTGCAAATTAAACTTAATGAAACTTCTAATTGCGATTAAAAAATGACCGTTGATACGGCCCTTGATCTTCCACACAAACAACTGTGAAATAGGCTTAACGGGCATTTACAAGAAACAATGCGTTTTCATGCATGGAAAAGTTGCGAACATTTACTGATCAGCAAACGTTGAAAAATCATTGAACTCACCAAGTATAGTAGATACTTCGTCATCCTTGATATCCTTAATATCTTTGGTTTCTTTGCTCACACTTAGAAAATCGGACAAACTCAAACTAGAAGCGATTAGTTTCCGTTTCTCTTCGAAGTTGAGATAATCCAAACTATTACTTCGTGTTGGAGCTACAATCGCCACATTTTTCACTCTTTGAGGATTGGTAAGTTGAGTTTTTTCGTGCATAGCCGATTTTTCAACAAACACACCACTGAACCGTACAGACATACCACAACACTCGGCCGTTTGGCAAACAATCACGTTCTTTTATATCGAACAGGTGTGGAATCCATGGGTCAGGTACAATGAAGCCCTTTAGATCAATTCGAACCCTCTTTTCAAATGATCACAGAATCACCTGCCACCCGGTAGCGATTGAGGAGAGCGCACTGAAAATGATTCACCTACACAAACTGGAAGCACTTCGCGATGTGTTAGGTTATAAGTAGTAAAATAGGAAACACTAATTGCGACATTTTCCCGACTAATGTTAAGCGTTGAAATAAGCAAATTGTAAGCTTCGTTGTGAATACTGAGTCGCTGGCGAACGTTCACCCCTCACCGCACGTTCCGCGGGATCTATTCGTCGTTCCGTTTTCTGTTCGCTTTTACTGGCCTTTGCCTTACCCAATTTCGAATGGAATTATCCGCGGTGTTGCCAATACCAACACTTTAATTTCCTAAACTGCATGTTTCAGGGTGTTTCACTGCATCCATTGAAGACTCCTAGATTTTCTCTATAACTCAAAAAGGAATAATGTTTTATCATAAACCAATGCCCGGAAACCCACTGTTATCATGGCAAGTCGCGAGTTCAAAGTCCAGACGCCCCCTGGTGGCTAAAATTATAACTAAAAGTTAAGTAGTAATTTGACATTGGTGTGGGTGTTGTTACATCTGATTTGCATGTTGGTACATCTGATTGTGGTTTGTTTTGTTCTAATCAACTTTTGCAAGCTTTTAAAGAAATAGAAACAGATCGAAAAGTGTGTAAGTATTGATTTATGTTATAAATATCATCAACTCCAATAAATAAACAAGTCTGACAAGTCTCAACTGTCACTCGACAACAAGTAATTTGACGTTCCGCAGCGCCACCATCGGTAGTTGAACTCGCGAATACTTGTTGCTGACAGACAATATTACTAATTTGACACATTTATGCCCGGTTCCTCGTAGATTTCCTAATACAGCGTTATTCAAAGTGTGTTCCGCAAAACCTACGGCCAAAGCCAAAGATCCCCATTAAATCATTATCCTAAAAAACCTTTTTTAAATTAAATCCCAAAAAACCTTTTTTTGTATGATTATTAATAAACTCGTTTTGCTTTTAGTTTAGTTCTGGTTTAGGGCTCCGATAAAAATTTAGTTTTTTAAAAGGGTTTTGTCACTAAAAATTTGTCAATATGAAAATTTTGAATAAACAAAACTAGAATCTCATAACATTAGCGATTTTATCTACGATGGAAGCGAACGGAAAAGTAGGAGAGGGTGTAGTAACAACCTCGGTAAAAATTAAGGGTTTATCTGGCCCGGATGATAGTAACATAAAATATCCCCCTTAGCTAGGGGGTACGTTCTGTGATGTTCCCTGCAAGGGCTCCTGGCTAGGATTACAGGTAAAGAAGCTGCTGCCTTGTAGTTACGACGTTGGAATTGTCAAAGGTTAGTGGAAGAAAACCCCCATAAAAAATTACCGGGTCCTCCACGTTGGAAGTTGGAATATCAGACTAACTGTGATACTAGGACAAAAAATAATGTTAAAAGACCCAATCAAACGCGTCGGAATGGAAAGAAAAACCCCGAAGACGACTCAAGCAACGAAAAAGGACAATGATTTTTGATACATGGGATGCGCAAGGAATGACTCGAAAAATCAACGAAATAGTTCACGAAATCAACAGAGTGAAGGAAGTTGGAAAACGATAAAATCAATTAGAAAAGAAACGACCAGAGATATAATTTTGTCAATATCAGACAAATAATGGGATGCACACTTTAAGAAACTTCCAACACAAAACAAGAGAATTAAAGCATTGAAATTTGTCTTGTTTAAGTACAATTGTACCAATTTATGACGAGAACAATATCGGGGAAAAGTGCGTAGTCTACCGGCATTAGGAAAAAATATTTTCAAAAGTAACAAAATAAAGGCGTAATTTCATTGCCTGATCATTTCTGATCATCACTCAAGTGTGAATGTTTGAAATCATGGTAATTACGTTGAGTGAGTCCGGCGGTCATTTCTGGAAATCGGAGTATTTTGCAGGCTTTTGGGCCGCCGTGGAAAATAATTTCTTCTTCACATTTTGCAAGTACGAGTGATTTGCATCCTCAGAGGTAAAAATAGTTAAAGTTTTTGCCCAGCTTTTCGAGCGAAAAATGCTCGGATCGAGTTGTCGATGCCTTTATTATAACCGCCATTTTTTAGCAAAACAGGAAGCCCAACTTGTCAGAAAATGCAGTTAAAAAAGAGAGATTTTTCATTTCTATTAATGCATGTTCTATCATGTACTACCGCAAATCTTAAAATAATATACAAAAGTTGAGGCGAGCGCTTCGCGCGAAAGATACTTATCTAGCGTATATTAGCATCTTGAAAGATACGTTGTTTCGTTGATATTTACCAACAACTTGAATTTCTGAACGCAACTAACTTGCGTCGCCAGCTTGATAGGTTTGAATTGCATTTTGCGCTGTTGCCAGAGATCGTAAATCATTCAAAGGTTTACTTCACTGTAACGAGCAGCTACTGATTGAATATTTTAATACGGGAAATTGGAAGAATAAAATAAGAATTTTAAAGACAAGTGCTCTGAATAAACTTATTTTGGTCTTTTATAATGAATAAAATTTTCGACAGGCACACAGTTTCTGAATGAAATAATTCAATTCCGCAAACTTTCTTCTAAGAACATAAGAAGAAATAATAAATAGATCACCTACACTCTGGATTAGTCTTCAAATACATAACAGAGTGATTGTGCTTTTTGGTTGTGAAAACTTAGCAAAAATGTTAGAAAATAACTTGCACAAATTTTGGCGTAATCAAGCGTTTAGCCATAAAAACTTTCCTTCTTATCTTGTACCACTTTTACAGTTATTAATCTTTCCAGATATGAACATTGGCAACCGCAGTAGGCTTATAACATTATTATTATCATTATTGGTAGCTTTTGTTTAACGGCGCGGCGCGGCGGTTTGAATTAACCGATCTTTGACCCGCAAACCCAACCATAATTTTGTTGTCGGCCTTCCAAGACTGCGCTCAGTAGTGAATGAGTTATTGCAACATACACGTGCTAAGTATGAACAACTTAAGTGAAGATGCACGGCGATACGCATTGGAAAACTTGAACGAAACTGACGAAAATAGACGATATTGTTTAGAAAATATAAGACTGTGGTTGCAAAACGATGTTCCGTGGATTAAAGGTCGCTCCGAAGATAAGTATATACTGCCATTTTTACGAGGATGCAAATTCAACCTAACCAAAACAAAGATGAAGCTGAAGAATTACTACATGATGAAGAGAGACCGGCCTGAATGGTTTTCAAATAGAAACCCTTTACTTCCCGAGATACAGGCACTGGTCAAATTGGGAGCTTTTGTGCCTCTGAAGCACACTCAAGACAACAAAATGGTAATCATAATTAGAACAGCTGCCCATGATCCAAAAATACATACATGGAATGATGTTTTTAAAGTTGGAAAGATGATATTAGATGTGGCTTGCCAGGAAATCGTAAACGCTCAAATATTTGGAGTTATCGCAATCTTTGACATGACGGGAATGGGATTCACTCATTACAAATCCATGACACCGACTTTGATTAAGAATGTTGTCTTTGCTTGGCAGAATTACCATGTTAGACCTAAGCAATTGGAGTATATTAACTCCCCAACATACATAAACATTGCCCTTAGAATATTTAAAAGCTTTATGACCGAAAAGATGAGAGGTAGAGTTAAAGTGCATTTCGGTGGTGTTGAGGAAGCACAAACCATTGTAGCAAAAGACATTTTACCAGTAGAATATGGGGGCAGTGGAGAGAGCTTAAACAATCTGAGCCAGTTTTGGGTGGAACAATTACTGAAGTATCGAGATTGGTTTGCAGAAGACGAATTTTATAAGGCTGAGCAAACAGAAGCTTCGTCAATCATGAACTGATAGACTTAACAACTTAGCGATTTTTGTGTAAATTATGCAATATATTTTTTATTTATCATGTACAATTTCTTTTATTTTAATGATTACTATTGCTTATGTGCAGTCTGACAATATACAGAGTGTGTCATAATTATGATGCTCCCAGGAGCTGCTATGTTAAGGCACTAAAACAGTTATAAAATAGCACTTTAAAAAAGATCGAAACAACCTTGCTCTTCTGATTGACCATTAAAAAACTGAAACACTTAAATTTCAACTATATTATTTTTTGACATTAATAGCGAAACTGAACCAAAAGTGACTACACGTTTTACATTTTTGTTCTAGAAATCATCAACTTCAAATTAAAAAAAAACGATTCTGTTTGTTTATTAGCAAAGTCTAACAGCGCATTCCATTCTGAATTGAACGAGAGACAAAACGTTAATATTATCTTAACAAGTTTTCTCAATTATTATCGGGAAAATAGTAAGTACCTAGTCTAGTTAGTACGGAATGATTTCGAATAGTTTTCATAAAGTTGTTTACAATGTGTAGTTTTTGCAGTAAAAGCTCGTCCACACGGTTTATTTATATTACGTTATATATTAATGTCGTGACATAAGCCAGTGTCACGGTGTCGTAGATCAAACTATTTTGATGTGACACTAATGTCGCGACACTGTGACCTTCAACAGTTGAAGGACAATTGTTCTTGTTGCATTGTTCAGACAATGACACTGTTGTTAATGACAATAGATGTCACCGTGTGAACGAGCTTTAAGACGATTGTTTGCATTCGTTTCATTGTTAAACATATTTGCAATACATTTTCAGTGTTCTGTTAATACATTATACAGGGTTATTCAGATTATATAACACGGAAGATTGGGGCCAAACTATTTAATTTTAAAAAAGCATTATTAAAATTGTTTTCTAATGTACAGGGAGTCCCAATTACTAGATTCAACTCAAAGTTGCAATCAAAACGGAGACCTTATTTTCAGTTTAAATTCTACACACCCATTTTGAGTTTTCAATCCAAATTTTAGCTATTGAGATGATGAGATGCAGTTGTGTGACAAATTAATAAAAATTAGACGAGATACAGGGTGTCTCAAAATTATGTTCAAACAATTGCGAGATTTGACCGCTAATAACTTGCTTAATGTAAATGTAATGTAAACACCATACACTTTATAATATAACTATATAACTTATATATTTTAAAACTAATTTTCTATTGAATACTATTCAGGTTTCATATACCAAAATCCTAAGGTTTTTATAGAAATCGCATATTTTCAGAAATGATGCATTGAAGATGGCAAGTATTTAAAATAAAAGCAGAAATAAAATGAAAATTAATATTTTATAAAACATTCGGCACTCCCAGCAGTACTATTACATTATTATACGAGCAAACTATGCAGAGTGTCTCAAAATAGTGCTCAAGCAATTATTGATCGTTTTCAACGGTAACAACTTGCCTCAATTAAAATAACACCTTATATTTTAAGCCAAGAGCGGATACGAAAATTGAGTTAAATCTGGTATAATATTTAAAATAAAAGTCCAAATGAAATGAGATACATAACTTTAACAAACTCCCAACAATAGTATTATTGATTCATATATTCTGACCACACATAAATGCACTCTTTTTTTTAAAGTATCGGTAACATAGCAGCTTATATTTCGGAAAGCTTCTATAGGTACTCAATTGGCCTTCTATAAGTCTATAGGTCAATATTATTGTGACTGGAAAACATTAAATAGAAAAGTTGTAGAAAATTGCATTCCAAAGAAATTGGCATGAAAGTGTGCTGAGTAAAGTGACTTGAGTTTTTTGAATGGCAACCATATTTGATTATGCCTTTATTGAATAAAGCATTTTATTACGATTTCAGTGATATATCAGATTGTTAGGTTTTTTCGAAAATGAAGTGTCTGCGAATAATTTTTCTTTCTCAATTTAGTTGATCGAAGTTAGCCATGGAAAAGAGTATAAGGTAGACAGCAGTGTTTCCATGGTAACAAATATTAGCCACATCTTTCAATTATTTGACATTTACGTTTAAATTCAAGTTAATTGGATATTTATGTTAGTTTTACTGTAAAAACGGATTATTCCAATGAAGAAAAGCGCGATATGATTGAAACCTGCTGTTGGGTTAATTGGCGTTGCCTTTGTGGACTGTAACTTTAGGTCTGGTTTGATAAATTTCAGTATATTTTTACAAGTACAAAATATTGTTTTACATTGTTCAAACATTCAACTACTACAAAACTTAAGAGGGCAGTCCTTTTCGCTGCTGTCTTCTTGACAATCAGCGCCAGGTCCCTACTGGTGGCGCTATTGCACGCTTGGGCTAGATGGGTGTGCTTTTCGACACATACACCAGATGTCATAAAAATGCTGGCGCCTCTGATTACTATTTTGAGAAGTATTTCGACCGCCGTCAGCCGTCCTTAAAAACATTCAAAATATTTGGGTACTTATGAGTAAAGACCGGATTTTAAGCATTTTGCTTATTGCTGAATTTTATAAGCAACCATTAGATTATTTAATTTCTAAACGAATTATACCAAACTAAGTATATTGCGATAGCTTTTATTATGCTTTTTTTGCTTTTTTAAAGTTTTCATGCTTTTTTGTCCGGTCGTGCTTATTTTGACTTTTTTCCGCATATTTGAATAATTTTAAAAATAGTACAAAATATTATACGGGAATAAATGTCCATATAAAGTAAATTTGGCAACTTTGCAAGGCGTCGCGTGATTCCCCGAAAAATCCGTTCGCACGTAGGTAATTCCCCAAAGTTTAACCTTGGGCTATGGCAAGACTTTTGTTATTTATTTAGTTAGTTACGAGGTGGTCTGGTTTCCAGTTGGTTTTATCGTCTGTACTTGGATTTAATTAGCTGTACGTGTAACTATTTAAACAATGCCAAA